TGGCCGCAAGCCGAGGGTTCCACTCCCCGAGCACAGGATTGGCGCGGGATCGCTGGGGCAACACAGCGGCAGCTCCAGACCAAGAGGGAAATGATATCGCACCCCGAAGTGCGTCGTAAAAGGATCCTTCACAGCGTGATTTGCACCACGTGTTGGCCGAGAGGAGGAAAAACTAACCGAGAGAGCGGTGGTGCACACGCTTTTCGGGTGACAGTGTCGGGTGTTGCGCGATGACTGAGCATCAAGTCGTAACGATGGACGACGTATGCTTATTCCCCCAGACCAAGTCATAGCTAGGCTAGAGACAAAATCGCGCAGTCTGAAAATCCAGGGATGCAGATCAGAGATGGGTTGATAGTGGCGGACGTCGGGTGTGACGAGTTTGAACCTTGGTCTGAGCGCAGCGACGAGTCGCAAGTAATCATGTCCACCCGAGGGCATTCATGAGTTTTAAGAACAAGACTTGCGTCCTAGGCGTGGTCGGAACACGAGGCGCGTTGGATGCTGACATCATGCACACGTGACCGAGACCCTCGTACATCTGCCCTTTGCGTTCCGTCTTCCACCAACTTTGTCCACCGCGAAAAAAACCAACATGAGGGAAATCGTGAACATTCAGGTAGGCTCATCGGTTGTCTTCTACATATTTTCGCTAAGATTATCTTTCACAAGGTTGGTCAGGTAAGTCTGTGTACCCAGATCGCGTCGTCAGTATTGTTCAAAGCGTCCCCTAATTACTTTTCCAGGCTGGTAACCAGGCGCGTCATTTCCACTTCCTTTTTGATCAAAGTCTAATCTTACGTTTCAAAACAGGTCGGAGAAGCTTTCTGGAAGGCCCTGTTGCTCGAGCATGGGCTCGACGAGTCTGGAGTAAGCCTTCCAACGCTCAGGTTCGCCAAATGAGCCCAATTCCTGACGTTCAATCTCAACCCAATCAGGATTATACGGGTGATAATCGGCAGCAGGTCGATCGTGTACGTCTTGACTTTTCCTTTTGTCGCGTCATCCGATGAACATTGTCCATCCAGCTCGATGTTTACTTTACTGAGGTCGAGGGTGATTCGGCTCGCAAAGCGCGATATGTTCCACGCAGCGTCCAGATTGATTTGGAAAGCGGAGTGTGCAACAGGGTGTGGTCCTTTTCCCCCCACGTCTTGGCCGGCAACTCACGTCCTTTCGTCAGCTGCGGAGCGGACCGCTTGGCGGCCTTTTCCGCCCCGACACGTTTATCAGTGGCGAAAACGGCGCAGGGAACAACTTTGGCAAAGGGCACTATACTGAAGGTTGGTTGCAATCCTTTCACACTCGACTAACCCTCACGTCATTGTTGGATTTGCTCTCACAGGGGCCGAGTTGATAGACTCCATTCTTGTACGTATTCTCTTTTCATATGCCACGCTGATTTTCCTGATTGCGGGGGATCACTGTAGGAAGTCATTCGAAAGCAGGTTGAACAATGCGATGCGCTTCAAGGCTTCCAGTTGATCCACTCCTTGGGTGGCGGAACCGGGTCTGGGCTGGGCTCGCTTCTCTTATCCAAGTTGCGCGAGGTAAGCGCCCCGGTGTGGCAAACTTTCATATATCAACATTTGACACTGTTCCAGGAAGCGCCGGATCGCATGCTCACAACGTTTTCGATATTCCCTTCGCCCAAGGTGTCCGACACTGTAGTCGAGGTGAGCCGTTTTGGTTGATCGATTGACGCTCTCTGACTCCGCACAGCCGTACAACACCGTCCTTGCCCTGCACCAACTCGTAGAGAATACGGACATGTGTGTTTGCCTCGACAACGAGGCCCTGTAAGGAACAAACGCCCTTTCTTTGCGTTACAATGCTGATCGAGACTGATAGCTACGACGCCACCCACCGCCTGAACCCAAAAAGCCAGCCCGAGTTCCATCAACTCAACCACGTAGGTTCAAGATATCGATGCAGGGCCGGTTGACTGATGCCCGGTTGTGTTTCAGCTCATTGCGCAGGTTATGACCGGTATCTCGACCACGTTCCGGTTCCCTGGACAGCTCAATGGGTACGTGGTTCCATTGTTGTTGATGTTTCTGCTAACAAGGGATGTGTAGTGATATGCGGAAAATGTCACTCAACTTGATCCCATTCCCGCGCATGCACTTCCTTTCGCCAAGTGTCGCGCCGTTGGTTTCATTCGGGAGCCAGGCATACCAGAGCCTGAGCGTGCCCGAATTGACCGCTGGGTATGTCACCTGCTCACCAAAACCAACCGGCGAATTCCAACCTCGTTATTTTCAGACTCTTTGATCGCAAGAACACATTGGTCGCGTGTAATCCTGCTCATGGACGGTATCTGACCGCGGCAGTCATCTTCCGCGGCAAGATTTCGTCACAAGAGGTGTGCTCACTCAGTGTCAGGTTGAATGTTTGCTCATGGCTTGTCAGGCACAAACGGCTGTTCAGCAGCTGCAGGCAAAGCATTCGCACTCATTTGTCGAGTATGTGGCCCTATCTTGGTAACTTTCAAGTATCCAACTAACGACCCTTGTAGATGGATTCCTGATAATGTGTCAATTTGTAAGTTTGACGCGACGTCTGAAAATTTAAGCTCGTCTCACGATCGCATATAGCGTTGTGCGATATTCCTCCGCCGGGAATGCAACAGTTTGGTACCTGCTTGGGTAACACTGTAAGCGAAAACCGCTCGATGTTGATCGTACTCTGACAGCCTATTGTGCTTGGTAGACGGCAATCCAAGAAGTTTTCAAGAGGACCCACTCTCAGGTTCGTGTTTGCCATTTCGGGCCAGCCTTATGTACTAACAAGTTGCCGGTAGTTTTCAGCCATGTTCAAGCGAGCTGCGTTCTTGCATTGGTATACTGCCGAGGTACGAAAATTTACCCCAACCGTTTGTGTGGATCTAAACTATGCGTTACAGGGCATGGACCAGATGGAGTTTACAGAGGCCGAGTCCAACCTTATGGATTTGGTTGCCGAGTATCAGCAATATCAGGATGCGCTGTATGTCCTTCGACCACTAGCATATTCCTTTTTCTCATTTCGTTTCACAGTGCGGTCGACGAAGAAGAACATTACGAGGTTGATGCTCCGAGCGAGGCGTACGAAGGGCAGAGCTACGCCGAGACGGAACAATAACAAAGTTCTGGCCTTTTTCCTTTACTATACTACTTTAGTCTTTTAGTACCCCAGTGTTCTGCATGCTGTTTTACACTCTTTCGTTATATCCCACAGATGGTAATGGAAACGGTTGCCTCGATCGGCTTTAATAGGATTTATTAGTGATGGAGCGGTGTTTTGATTGACTCGGGCTTTTGCCGCCTCTATTAAAAACCCACGTCTATCGCCCTCTCACACCTCACACGAGCTAATCACGACTGACTTGAGCTCGAGATGGCGACATTTGCGAAATCAACATTCAATGCCGCGTCGTATGCCTCGTTTAGGCCGACGTACCCCAAGTCGTTGTACGAGTTTATATACGGCTATCATGCGCAGTCGGGGCGTGCGGGGTGGGACAAGGTGGTAGATTTGGGGTGTGGGACAGGTCGGCTCGTCTACTCCATTTAGTGGCTGCCTATTGATTGCATCAAGGCCAAGCGACGGCCGCGGTCGCCGAACGTTTCAAGCATGCTGTTGGGTGTGATCCGTCACCTGGGATGGTGGAGAATGCTCGGTCGGCGGTTGAACACACAAATATAACAAACAAGCCGACGTTTGAGGTTTCACCAGCTGAAAAGTTGGCGTTTTTGGGAGACGAGTCGGTGGATATGGCTATTGCTGGTGTGTACCGTCTTTTTCAGATAAGCTGCCTACATGACGGGGAGTTAGCCCAGGCAGCGCATTGGTTCGATTATAAGATGTTATTCCCGGAACTCGCACGGGTGCTCAAGCCTGGTGGGACAGTTGCGATTTGGAACTACAACGAACTGAGGTTTGGGGGGAGGCCATCGTTGGATCACTTGATTTCAAAGTATTCGCATGATGAGGGCAGTTTGGGGCCGCATTGGGAGCAGCCAGGTGAGGTCGTTGGTTATGTGTGGACCTGAGAAGCTTGAAAGTGGCGCATAGGTCGATCAATCCTCGAAGGTTATCTTCAAAAAGTGCCGGTTCCCACTATACCGCCATGGGATCCCGCTTCGATTCGTCGAGTGTATTTTGTAGGGACTCACGAGCCTAACATGCAGGGCGAGAAGCACCCGGTGATACTCGCCAAGTATTTGAACTGGGACGCGTTCCACCAGTACCTCAGGACGTGGTCGTCATTGCACAACTATCTGGCTAGTCATCCGGATGACAAGGATCAGCAGGGGAGAGACATTGTGGATCGGTTTGTAAAGAATGTGAGGGAGCAGGGGGAGAAGCTTGAAGGGACTGGTGTCGAAGGCTGGAAGCAGGGGTTTACGGCCGAGTGGCCTTTGGCATTGATACTTTTGCGTAAACGGTAGTGCGGCGCGTAAAGTCGGATTGTCGATTTGGGCTTGTATACCTGGGATTAGTTGACTGTATGCGCAGATTTCAGGGTACGTAAACTGAAAATAAAATATCTTAAGAGCTTCCTTTCTAGTTCTGTATGAGCAGACGAGCAAGAGGGGGTCTGATCCAAGTAACTCGCACACCAAAGCTGGAGCTATGAACCCCCCCCCCCCATCTGGCTTGGCATACCATCTAAGAATCTTGCTGATTACTCAGTACATTTCGACTCAGTAATCTAGTTTCAAATGACTCCACATAACACTGTGTAGTAATTTGCCGGGTGGTAATAGTTAAGCGCCGGGTCCTTAGTGGATACTGCGGTGGGTCGAGGGGTCTGAAACACCTCTTAACGGGGTTGGAAAAATCTGAAATAAATATTTCTAGAATCTTGAGCCAATTCTACCCTGGTAGAGTGGGTGTAAAAAATATGGAAATAGGACAATGTGTCCCAAAAAAGGTGGGTGTCCTACAATTCGGTTTCCAGCCCCCTAGGAGCGTTTCTGGGGCTAAAACCGTTCAGAAAATTGCCCAAAAAGTATTTCCCGCTACCTGATTTGAACAAGTGGCCTCGTCATGCGATTACATAAGATTACGTAAGCTACTAGTGACGCGCTCTACCACTGAGCTAAGCGGGAGTTATAATATTTGGAAGGAACTAGCCTGTATGCAAATAACGAAGAATGAACCAGCCGTGCTGTTGTAGGCTGGCCATCCAATTGCAAGCTACGTGGGAATCGTGAGATTGTATCTTGACTGGGAGATGATCGTGAACGCATGGTATTACTTCCTATGGGACTACATCAACTGCTATATTGATAAAGCCGTTGTCAGGTCTCTTTTATCATCTTTTATTTGCTCAACTAGCTGAACGCCCCTGTTATTCACCCACTGGGTCTCTATATCTCAGTTTCAAGTCGAAGAAAAATTGTTTAATTTATTCTGAGCCCCTTCACAGGAACTTGTAGCTGCGGATTCTCAACATTATGTGCACATAATGTGAATAAACTGGATATAATTGTGCTTTCCACGAATTAGGCCGCCCTCTGTTGATAGAATTAATAAGTTAAATACTCATTCTATATTGGATATCCATGGTCTGGCACATATATACACATATTTGGATACCTGTGTTAATCCAAATGTATCCTTAATTGGTATATTAGCAGGGCTGTGTCATCCATCAGTGAAGTAGACGCGCCGCGTCTTAAGTACTTTTGATTTGAATGCCGCCACTGCAGCTGCGCTATCACTACCCAGTTGCATTCGTTGAGCTCAAATGTGTTACTCATGCCCGAACACTTGCCTTGGAGAACTTGATTTAACGATGGAAGACCCTGCTGCAAAGCAACAACACCGAGTACGTCTTATTTAGCCCTGCGTTGATAGTACTGACGGCGGCCATTTGGGCTCCAGTCTCACCATAAAGATCAACCCGATGCGCTATGCTACTGTGCTCGATGCGATGGAAAGGCCAAGCAGAAAGCTCGAACAATCGAAGATCACCGGACTCACTACCCACGGTGAGCTGACAGCGCTCAAGCCGGTCCGCATGGCGATGCAGGACCGAGCCGCATTGAAGTAGACTCCCCCAGCCCACCCAATCCTTCTGCTTTGCCACCTTCGAGCCCCGACCAACAGCTAGTGCGGGATCCTTTCAAGTTGGGGTCTCCTGTTTTTGGTGGTGCTGAAGACAGTGACGCCATGGAAATAGACTTACCTGCTGTGCCTCCACTGCCCCTCGATCCTGGCAATGACTTACCACCAATACCCCAAAACGACCTTCGTAGGCCTGATAGCCCAATGGCTGCCAACATCGACCCCGAACTCCTAGCTGCAGCCGAGGAACTGGTGTGCGAGTACAACTTCGACTGGTTATTTGATGAGGAAGACGACCGTCACTGTTACGTTCAAGGCGATGGTGCTAGAAACGATGGGGGAATTTTTGGACTCGGACTGGAAGAAGAGCTGGATGGTGTCGATTTTGGCTTACCAAACAATGGTCACCGGGGCGTTGACCCCGCCACTGCAGCTTTGCCTCGGTTTCAGCTGCCCGACGACATTGAGCTGGATGATCCCGAAGATCAGCCTGACGCTGGCGGTGCCGACGATGACCCAGATGCTCTCTGTGCGGTTTTCCGAGAGCCAGACTTGATTCATAACGCATACATTGATACTCTTGTGTAAAAGACACTGTACGGGGCTACTCACCGAGCGCTGAAGCACCAACTAAAGACAGCTCATCAAACCATTTCCATGCACCCCGACATTACGGTTGAGCAGACTGCGAAGATGGCACAGACCATCGGGACTGTGGAACGTAGGCTGGTGTTAACACTGACGACATTATAACTACGTTTACATTGTGCCCAGCCTGTAAACAACAGTACTCACCTGAGTACATCCGAGAGACTGACAACAAGCACTGCTTGAATGAGGGATGTGAAGGAACTTTGTTTACTATTCGGACTCTAGCCTCTGGGGGTCGCTGTCGAATTTCGAATCTCACTTACCCATATGCATCACCGATTGCCTGGTTATGCCACATGTTCAGCCAGGCTGGGATGGCTGAGTTGATGCAGACCTGGTGGACTGGGAATGATGATCATGAGCAACTAACAGCACCAGTGTCCAGTCAAGAGTGGATGCATGAGCTGAACCATAACAAACCCCTTGGAAATATTATGGATGGATGGGGTTGCCGATCCACTATGGCTGCACTTCATTGAATCCGAGATCCTATTACGAGGGATATGGTAGATCAGAGTGAAGTTGATCCACCCATCCGGTTTGTTGGCCTTCCA